GAAAAAAAAAAAAAAAAAAAAAAAAAAAAAAAAAAAAAAAAAAAAAATATAACAACCCATACCTTCATAGCTCTACAGATTACATACTGTTTACCAGGTACCAGGTAATATCCAAATTATTTTAGTTATCTGATGTACTTCTCACAATAACCCTTTGAGGCACGTTCTTTTATTACTCCTTTATTTAATATAAAAATCAGAACCCCAGAGAGGTCAGTGCTAATGTCGTACACAACAAGTGGACCCAGAACTTACTGTGTTGCCCTTTTAGTGGCAAGACACACACTTGGTACTCCATCACTGCAAATGGAACCTCAGTTACACAGCACATGATGCACACACTCCTAAATATGCAGCTGTCACATTTAAAGAAATGAGAGATAGGAACAAAAGGGAATTTTTCCCCCACAGACAGCTTTTCACTGACTAGAATGAAATGAGTAATATTGTTCACAGCTGTTTAAATTAATTCAGGCTCAAGCTGTTGACAATTAGGTGCATGGTTTGTCCATTTGTATGAAAACAATGTTTCTACTACACCCACTGGCTGGCTTTGTATCGCCTTCAAATTTTAGAATAAAATTATTTTATTAACTTAAGAGAAAATTTGGTAGTAAAGGTCATACAAATTTACACACTCTGAGAATAAGAAAAAAGTATATACTGCAATACTTTAGACTTAATATATTTAACAAGCTATAAAGAGGCCAGGGTGGCATTTAATGTGATAAATACAAATGTAAGTCACAATATACATTATGTTAAGTGTATATATTTCCTACATGCATTTATGCTGGATTCCACTAAGGAAAGCTCTTGTTCACATAGAATACATGTATGTATAAAACCTACACACTTGTGGGGGGGCTGTTCTGTGCATCACAGGCTGTTGAGAAGCACCCCTGGCCTCTGGCCACTAGATGGAGTAACTCCTTTCAGTCTCCAGTTACGACAACCAAAAAATGTCTCCAGGCATAGCCAAATGTCTCTAGGTAGACAATATCAACACTTATATTTAACTATTGGTAGGTGATAAAATATTTTTAAATAGTTTAATACTATAGCTAACATATCTGTTTGGAAATTTACATCCATATTACATAACTTGATAGTTTTTCCTTCATTTCAAATTCTCTGATATACAGTACACTTGGAAGTTTTGTTGAAAGCCTTGACATATTAAAGATATCTATAAAGATTTACTTTATTCTCCACAGTCAGTGAGACCTCCCTCCTGATATGGCATTCCCAATTTGTTGCATTGTTTCTCCCATGACTTCTTTGATTTTTCCATAAATTGACTTGGGGATCAAAGGTGGCAACACAGGTTTCTCTTCTGTGAATCTTCTCATATACAAGGACATGTATCTTCTGTCATAAAGTTCATCAGGCAGATTAGCTACAGTGGGCCAGTTGTGTTGTAATGCAAACAGATCACTCATACAATGGCTCGACAAAGTTAAGTATTCATTTCTCACTCATGTAAAGTACAAATACAGGGTTTGGGATAGAAGTGAGAAGATCTGCCCTCTGAAATCATTCTCTTCTGTCTTAACTTATGGAGTCCTATTCCCACTGATGGCTCTCAAGACCATCCTGAGGGTCATCTGCAGTTCAGTCCCAGAAGGCTTGAGAAACTAGGAAAAACTTCATAGACATATGTTTGTGGCAGGCCTTAAAGTAATGTTCACCACTTGTATTCATATTCCCCTGAACAGAGCCCAGTTACCTGGTTCCACACAAAGGCTGAGTAGGCAGGCTACCTGTTTGTATGAGAGAAAAGAGAGTGGTTTTTGAACAACACATAGCCACTCTCTGCCATAAAGACTTTCTACTCTGTGTAAATTCTCTGATACCTACTGAGGGTGACTTCTGATGAAAGATGTTTCCACATTTATTACAGTCATCCTTCCATATTTGTGGGTTCCACGTCCATGGATTTAACCAACCACGAGTCAAAAACATTTGAAACAAATGAAAAGTGAATAATAGTAATACAACAATAAAGTAATACAAATAAAGAACACAGTTTAAGAGCTGTTTCCATGCTATTGATGTTGTATTCAGTATTATAAGCAATTTACACAAGACACAAATTATAAAACAGTAAATGCATAGGTAATACACAAATACTACACCATTTTATATTAGTGGCTTGAGAATCCACAAATTTTGGTAACCATGGGGGGTCTTGGAACATATACCCTGTGGTTACCAAAGGACAGCTGTACATTCCTAAGATTTTACTTTTAGGAGAGTTCTCTAATGCATCCTGAGGTGTAACATCCAATGAAAGGTTTTTCCACATTTATTACATTTATGGGACTTTCCTCCTGTGTGAATTCTCTGATGCATAGTAAGCTCCCTCTTCTGAAAAAAAAAATCACATTCATTACATGCATAAGACTTCTCTCTCGTATGTGTTTTCTTTTTCTTTTTCTTTTTCTTTTTTTAAAAAAAGATGACCGGTAAGGGGATCTTAACCCTTGACTTGGTGGTGTCAGCACCACACTCAGCCAGTGAGTGAACCGGCCATCCCTATATGGGATCCGAACCCGGGGCCTTGGTGTTATCAGCACCACACTCTCCCGAGTGAGCCACGGGCTGGCCCTCTTGTATGTGTTTTCTGGTGTATTGTAAAAGACAATTTCTTTTCGGAGAATTTCTAACATTCACCCCATTTGTAGGGTTTCTCTCTTGTGTGTATTTTCTAATTTTTAGTGAGTTTAGACTTTTTATAGAATGTTTTCTCACACATTTTACATTGAAAAGTTTCTCCTAAAACCTGAATTGTCTCTTGGGCAATGAAATTTGACTTCTCGAAATATTTCCTAGGGCCGAGCCCGTGGCACACTCAGGAGAGTGTGGCGCTGGGAGCGCAGTGGTGCTCCTGCCGTGGGTTTGGATCCTATATAGGGATGGCCGGTGCACTCGCTGGCTGAGCATGGTGCGGGCAACACCAAGCCAAGGGTTGCAATCCCTTACCGGTCACAAAAAGGAAAAAAAAAAAAAAAAAAAAAAAGAAAAAAGAAATATTTCCTATATTGATTATATTTACAGGAGGCTTCTCCCATGTGAACCTTCTTATGTGTAAATAATATTGGTTCATGTGTAAATAATAATACGTTGAAGGCTTTTCCTCATCCACAATATTCAAAATGCTGTTCCCCAGTTTAAATCTTGTTATGCTCACTAAGATGCTCATGATGTCTGTCAATTTTCCAGGTACATTATGATCATCAGATTTCTTTGTGGCATGTGTCTCATCAGACTATCTAGGAGGAAGTGCATTCTTACATAAGTTAATCATTCCTGAATAGATTTCATTATTTATTTATTTATTTTTTCTCCTTTTTTTTTTGTCTTTTTTCATGTCTGGCAACGGATCGCAACCCTCAGTGTCGTGCCCGTACCGGACTGGGACCAGTAACGGGATCGCAACCCTCAGCGCCGTGCCCACACCTCGCTCAGCCAGTGAGCGGGAACCGGTCTGTATGTGGGATCCGAACCCTCGTCTGGAGCGCCGCCGTGCTTCCCAAGCGGCGCACTGTAGCAGTGCGCCACCGGGCCGGCCCTAGATTTCATTATTTATAGGTAGATTTGAAATATGGCTTCGGGCCGGCCTGATGGCGCACTGCTACAGTGCGCCGCTTGGGAAGCGCGGCGGCGCTCCCGCCCGAGGGTTCGGATCCCACATACAGACCGGTTCCCGCTCACTGGCTGAGTGAGGTGCGGGAGCAACACCGAGGTTTGCGATCCCGTTGCCGGTCCCGGTCCGGTACGGGCGCGACACTGAGGGTTGTGATCCGTTGCCGGTCAGTAAAAAAGACAAAAAGGAGAAAAAAAAAAAAGAAATATGGCTTCAGCTGAAATTAAACTTTTTTTTTTTTTAACTCAACTCTCTTCTCAGTTGAAGTGTTCCTGTTGGTGAAGACAACATGCCACAAAATCTATCATGATTTTCTTGACTCTTCTCAATTACAGTATCAACTATCTGGACATCTGAAATGAAAAAAATAAATAACTATATCCATGAACTACACATAAGTGTACCTTATTGAATGTTCATTTAAAGGTAAAGAAGATTCTTTCTATCCTAGTGGCATGAGATTTCATAAAAATCAATAAGTGGGGATTGATTTATGAATATATAGGTTTTCTTCCAATTGACTTAATATGATAAATTATGTTAATGGATATTCTAATGCTAAATTATGTTTTCCTCATTTTGTATACTTTCTTTTTTAATTCATGAAGAAATATCTATCTATCTATCTATCCATCTACTTATTTATTTATTTGTGGTGGCTGGCCAGTATGGGGATCCTAACCCTTGACCTTGATGTTATAATACTGAGCTCTGATCAACTAAGCTAACTGGCCAGCCTCATGAAGAAATATTTAATACAAATATTCACCCACTGCCTATTGATAGTTTTCAACTAAGTGTTAATCACTAGCCATTTGTTTACCCTGTTCTTTCTCTATATTTTATTTTTATAACAACAGTGGGTGTCTCATGCTATTTTTCTTATTAGTCTGATTTGCAGATAGCAAAGATTATTTGGTTCATCTACTTTTATGTGCAGGAGATATTTGTCACGTAAGCAGGAATGTTGCTTAGGTTTCAGGATTTTCACCCATGTTTCATTAGTTTTCACTCTTCCCTGGAGAATGCCTATAGGCACCGGGGGGGCAGTTAGAATATAAAATCTCCTCTTCTTTACACTACATGAAGGCGGTTTCCTTCACAGTCCTCATTTAACATTATTTCCTCTGCTTCTCACAACCATGACAGGTACAGGAAGCTCCAGTCCACCACCCTGGGCAGCTCCTCCCTGTGGGTCTAAACTTGGTTCTGCAACTCAGGCTGTGCCCACCATCTTTGAAAAATGTTTTCCTGGCTTCTTCTGAGATTGACTGCCACTCTCCCCACATTTCATTGTACTCACACCCATGGCTTGATATTTCACTGTTTCCGAAGGCTTTTATTTTGTGCAAAGAGTTTCAGATGTCTTCTAGTTTCAAAGAAAATGGAGTCTCCTGTACATTACTCATTCTTTTTGTTGTTTTAGAATAATTTCCACAAAGAGAAGGGGGAAATGCTAACTTTAAAGTTTACTACTGCTGTAGATTGATTGAATTTTTTCCTCCAAAGTTCATCTTTGAGAAGCTTAATTTCCATTGTAACTGTTGAGGGTGGGAAGTTCTATTATGGTAATTGAAAGGTGGGGCCTTAAACGTGTGATTGGACTGTAGGACCGTGCCAGAGTGAATGGATTAATAATGGTCATCAGGGGCATGGTTCTGAGGACTTTAAAAGGAGAGCACACGAGATTGTCTTTCTTTCTGCTCCACCATTTTCTGTCATGTGAAGCCCCTGCAATGCTGTAAATCCACCACCAAAGAAGAACTTCACCAGATGTGTTCCTTGGACTTTGGACTTCCCAGCCTCTGAAATTGTAAGCAATAAAACTTCATTTTCTTACAAATCACCCAGTTCCAGGTATTTTGTTATTAGCAACAGAAACAAAGTAACAAAAAAATTGTTACCAGAGAAGTGGGGTGTTTCTTATAACAAATACTTTAAATTGTGGAAGTGGGTTTGGAAGGTGTTGGGCAAAGGCTGAAAGAATTTGAAGGAATGGGCTAGAAGGAGCCTAGCTTCTGGTGGGAGTTTAGAAGGCAAGAAAACCAGGGAAAGTTTGAAACTTATTAAAAACTGGTTAAATGACGGTCAGCAGAATGCTGATAGAAATGTGGCCAGTAAAGGCCATTCTGATAAGATTTAGATGTACATGAGAAGGAACTTACTGGAAACTGGAGCAAAGATCACCCTTGCTATGAACTGGCAAAGAACTTGGCTGCATTCTGTTTATACCCCAAAGTTTTATGGAATGTGAAACTTAAAGGTGCTGACCCAGAGTATTTGGCAGAAGAAATTTCAAAGCAGTAAAACATTCAGGAAGCTGCATGGCTACTTGCAACAGCCTATGCTGAGTTATGGCAGAAAAGTGATCACATAAAGTCAGGAGGGAAGCTGAGCATAAAGGTTTGAAAAATTTGCAGCCTGGACATGTGGTAGAGAAGTAGAGAACATTTTCAGGAGAAAAATGCAATGGTGCTATTAAGATTAGTACAAAAGAGAGGAATTATCAAGAGAAGGTGGTAAAAAAAAATCCCTGAAGGCATTTCAGAACCTTCCATTACAAGCCCAGAGGTCTAGGGAGACAAAATGTTCTTGGGGAACAGGCCTGAGGCACTCTCCATGGGCTCATTTCCCATGGCCACCTCAGGAAGATGCTTCTAGCACCAGCACCCCAGCTGCTTTGGCTGTTGCAGCTATGGCTACCTTGGAGCCAGGTGTGGCTGGACCCAGAGCTTTGGAAAATACAAACCAGAAGACTTGGTGGCACCCACATGGTGTTACATATTCAGGCTTACAGAATGCCGGAGTTATGGATGCTTGGGAGCCTCCACCCCCATTTCCAAGGATGTATGGAAAAGTGTGGGGGCCCAGGAAGAGATCTGTCAGAGGGGTGGGGTCACCAATAAGGATTTCAGTAGATGATGCAGAGAGGAAATGTGGGGTCAGAGTTGCAGCAGAAAACCTCCATCAAGGCCATGCCTAGTGTAGTCACGGGAGCAGGACTGCCATAGAGACCCCAGAATTGTGGAGCTACCAGAGTGAAAGGCCATCCTGGGAGAGATGAAGCATTGCCTCAGGCCAGAAAATTTATAGAAGTGGAGCTGCCTGAGGACTTAGGGAACTAACCCCCACACCAGCATGAAGAGGACACTGAACATGGAGTCAAGGATCATGATTTCCCAGCTTTGAGATGTGATTCTAGTCCTGCTGGGTTTCAGACTTATTTGGGACTTGTTATCCTTTTCTTATGGCCTATTTCTTCCTTTTGAATGGAAATATGTAACCCATGATTGTCCCTCTATTGTATGTTGGAAGTAGATAACTTGTTTTGACTTCACAGATGGGACTTTGATCTTTGGACTTTTGAGTTGAAACGAATTAAGACTTTGGGGATGGGATGAATGTATTTACTTGTGAGAAAGACATAAACTTTGGGGGTCAGGAGAGGAATGCTGTGGATAGATTGAATTGTGTCCAACCAAGTTCATATATTAGAATCTTAATACCTACTGTAACTATTCAAGGTGGGAAATCCTATTACGATAGTTGAAAGGTGAGTCCTTGAAGAGGTGATTAGATTGTAGGACTATGCCATAGTGAATGGATTAATAATGGTGTTCAGAGGCATGGTTCTGAGGGCTTTAAAAGAAGGGCACATAGATTCTCTCTCTCTCTCTCGCTGCTCCAACATTCTCTGCCACATGAGACCCCTACATTGCTGTAAAGCCGTCACCAAAGAAGACCCTCACCAGGTGTGTTCCTTGGACTTTGGACTTCCCAGCCTCTGAAACTGTAAGCAATAAAATTTCATTTTCTTACAAATCACTCAGTTCCAAGTGTTTTGTTATAAGCAACAGAAATGGACTAATACAACTCTCAAACTGAAATCTGAGCATTTCAACATGAAAACCTTGGTTCACTTGGTCTTGGGACCCTGAATCATGTTTCTCCTCCCAAGTCCAGGACCACCCCTTTCTCACTTCTATGCTGGGACTTCCTCTGCTTCATGATTTCTGATGTGGTGGTACACAAGACTCACTCTTGGGCCTCTTATTTCACTTTTTTGTCAACCCTCTAGCAGACCACCTCTGTAAGTATGACATTAAATACCATCTTTAGGCCACTGATTTCCAAATTTGTATCTGCAACCATGATGTTCACTCTCAAATCTATATTTTATATTTGTATATGTATTATAGGTCAAAATTGAAAAATAGCTCACTTGAACTGAAGCTACACCAAAGTAAACAATATTCTTTCTAAAACTGCCCTCTCTAAAAATTCTTCCTAAATTCTAATTCCCATTTTTTCTCTCTCTCACTTTGATTTAATATTCCATATGAATTCAACACAACTAGTTAACATATTTTCTTGTTTCTCTGGTCAGAATATAAAGTCTATAAAAAAGGGACATTATTTAGGTCATTTCTGTTATAGGAACAAATAAAAAATCACAAGTGCTTATAACCTGCCTGGTAAAGACGTGTTAAAAGAATAAATGTATGAATAAATATCTGTGGTATAGTTTGAATGTCCCTCCAAAATTCATATTGAATATTGATCCCCACTGTAACTGTTAAGAGGGTGGAATAGCCAGCTATGGTATTTGAAAAGTAGGGCTTTGGGGAGGTGATGGATAGAAAGAGCTAAGCCCTCACGATGGATTGATCCATTCATGGATTAATAGCTTAATGATTTAATGGGTTGTAAGTAAGTAGACTGGGGGCTTTATACAGAGATAAGAAACCATGTGGACATGCTACTCTTCCCATGTGATACCCTGTACCACCTCCAGACTCTGCTAAGAGTCCCCACCAGGTAGAAGGCCCTCACCAGATGCATCTCCTTGACCTTGGTCTTCTCAGTCTCTGAACTGTAAGAAATACATTTTGGTTCCTTATAAATTACCAAGCAGTGGCATCAGATGTTCTGTTTTAAGCAATGGAAAACACATGGATAGTCTGAAAACTATGTCCATGAGAATGGAGGACAAAGGGGAAGTGAGACTATTGAAAAGTTAATAGCGAAAATAAATGTCAAAGTAGAAATGTAGGGATTTGATTTTAAGTATATATAAAAATGTATTCAGCAAAATAAGAAGTGAAGGTATACATGTGAGAGTCCTCCTTGGAGATTATAGAATGTATGTGTTTGACTCATGCAAACAAGCTGTTCTCAGGTCTGGGAGCTGGGGGAAAATGGTGTAAACAGCTGAACATGGCAAATATCCATTGGGATTTACACTTTCTAGCCTCCCTGCCATGTATGCACTAACTGACCTGGAAGGTTCTGGTTTGGGGGTTCTTGTACACTCCATGACACTCACATTCTCCATGAAATGGAATTATAATTAAATAACACTAATTATAAATTAAAATGGATTATTTGTTTACTAGCACAGAAAGCGTTGCTCCTGGGAGTTACTGGAAAGTAACTCACCCAACTACTCGCCCAATGAAACCTGTTACTGGAGGCCTCCAGCACTATGTCCTTGTATAGGGTCCTCTAAGCAGTGTATAGGTCCTGCTACTCCTCCCAGAGAAATTACACAGCCATGATTTCAAATGACACCAGTCCCTGTAATTCCACATTTCTTCTCAAATTGAGTTACCAGCCTTGGGTCACAGACAGAAACCTGAACATCCACCATTCCCTGTGTGCGTGTGTCATACATGTATCTTACCTAAGATGTCACTTCCTTGTAGTCCATATGAATGGAGAAAAAAAAAATCATAGTAGAAGTCTCCTGGGATTGGAATAACTTATTAGTTACTAAAATTTCTGTTACAAGGCTTACATTATAGATCTAGAATCATTCTTCTTGCTAGGGATAAGAGTCTGAATAAAATTTTGTTCTTCCAAGAAGCTTATAATTTGGTATGAAGACATAAGTATGAATACATAGGAGAAATAATGTGTCAGATAAACCAATTTAGATGCATATTCAATGTGCATTGGAATAAAAGAGATGTAGAAAATGTTGTTGTACTTTCTATTCAGTTTGCAATTTGCTGAAATGCCAAAGATGTTTAGCTCTTCCATGGGCACACATTTTCTCATGAAAAATGAGGCAATAGCAAAAGTGCAGTCACAAGAGCAAAAAGAACCCGCCCCCCCCCCCCCCCCCAGTCACAAGAGCAAAAAGAACACCCCCTGCAAATGGAACCACACACAGCACCATGTCTAGGTAAATGATTTGGGGCAGTGATGAGATATAAGTGCAATATTGAAGCAACTGATTACAAAATAATTATGTATTTAAATATTTTACCTAATTCAAACAACAAAATATTTAATGCACTTATTGTTGATTTTTAATTATGTATAAATTAAAAGCACGTGCACAGGCATCTCCAAATTCCCTTACTACACACAAAAAGGTTGCTTGTGCTCACCCCAGGGTGAACACTGCCACTTTCAAATCCACAAAATCTAAATAATTAGGTCCTGTAAAGACAGGTAAGTTATGTGACCAGATCTGCATTTTGTCATTCACTAGGAGAATGCAGAAGGGCTGAAGGTAGAATCAGAGAAGAAAACAGAGTGACAAATGACCACCTACATAAAAAC